GGAGATTGAGTCAGTTCCTGGCTGTCGCTCAGAGGCTGGGCCTGTGGCATGCTTTGCAGGGGCCATCTGATAAGTGTGGCCGCGTGTTCATATCAGGTGTGCGGTAGAAATGCTACCTCGTTCTGCACACAAAACAGAATCGCTGGAGACCCTTTATCTTTTGAGAGGAAATATATGTGGGGAGTCATTGGGCTGAATGGAGCCCTTGCTTGTGACGATGGTATCTTAGCTTTTGGCAAAGGAATTGGGCGAGGAGATTGAACAGTTTCTTCAGACTTCCTGGGGTGGACAGGTTGTCATATTCCTTAAGGTTTCTGAGAGTTTTTATAAACCTACTTTTCTATTTTTTTTCCTTTTTTGTTTTCTCCCTTTAAAATAGCAATGGTGAGGAAATCAGACACCCTTAACCTATCAGATGCCTGTTCAGGTCTAGATAAAAAATTAGTGGCACTGTGTTCTATAAGTTCTTAAAAAGAAGTGCCATTTCAAACACTTGTCATCTTTGCTGTAATTAATGTACAGAAAAGTGAGCCTTGACAAAGACTCTCTTCATCACGCAGGACCAGGGAGTCGAGTTTCTTACACATGGTGCCACCTGTAAGCACTGATAGAATCAGGACTAAGGCTGACATCTGACTTTCAGCCTCTTTTTGTTTTGAGACTTTATAACCATACTTCTGGATCTCTTTTGTTCAGCAGTGAGGAGTGGTTATTATTAACTTTAGTTTGTAGTGGGTGAGTGTTTTCTGCTGCATAGGTGATAGTCGATGCTTTAAACGCGCACACACGCACACACACACACACACACGCGTGCGCACACACACTTGACAGCATCTTATATATATATGTTGAACTGGGCAGTTAAAAGATGAAAGTGTCCAGTGAACCTTAAATGTGCTTAGTAAAAGTGCTGACTGGTGGAGGTGGCCTTGCTGACAGGTGCCTGCTTCGCTGTTGTGTGAGGTTCCCCCCTGCCCCCAACACGTGGTCAGCTCCAGCTCCTGGAAGTTATGGGCCTCGGCCTCGTCCAACAAGGATACTGTGTTGACATTTCAGCACAGGGCAGGCTGAGTTTGCAGGTCAGTGCTGAAGACTTTAAAACTTCTTCTTTCCACACTCTAAGATGAGTTAACCATCTGCCTTTTTCTGAAATGTGATAATGTATGTGACTGCACTTTAGAAAGGCAAGTGATCCATCAAGGCGGGTTATTATCCACCATCCACCTTCGTTTCCTGTCCAGTGTCACCCTGTTTCTATTCTCATTGTCCCTTTGAGACCATCTTTTACCATTTACTTCTGCCCTCTCTGCTCTAACTCTCTGCTTTCCTTCAAAAAAAAAAAACTGTCTGGTTTCATATCTCTTTGTCTCTGTCACTTCTCAATATGTATTTAAAATGCAGATGTCCTCCTCTGAACATCTCTGTTAATATAGGTAAATCTATTTGCACTGTCAGGGAGACTCTGGCCCCACACTGCACACTTGACAAGGACCCCCCCAACCTCACCCTGGTATGTGTTTACCACACCTGCTGCTTCTGCCCCTGCAGTGGGTGCATTCTTCCTGATTCTTAGGTGTTTCTGATGGCAAGAAAAGTGTTTTTTCTCTTGGATTAAACCCTGCCTTTAAGCATCTACTGCATCGTATGGGTACAAGAGACTGATAGAACAACAGAATTTTCATACCCATGTAATCTGCCTGTTGTGTAGATACCTGGTTGACAATGCCATAGAATCAGTACAGACATGAAGTTTTGGGTAAAAAACATTACAACTTGGGCTTGTATGAGAGTAAGTGACAAAACTCAATCTTAAAGAATAGTAAGAGCTGAGCTTCACTGCTTACATTCAAACTTCTATTTTCCCTTGCCCTTTCACCATTTAAAAAAAANATTAGCTGACAAACTGCCAGTATGAGGAAGCATAAAAACCCTGGCCTAGCAGGAGTCTCCCCTCAGTCTAGTTCTTTCTGGGCCAAGGAGTCAGGTCTGTAGGACAGCAAGATCATGCCTGTGTTTATTCAATTGAGCAGTGCTTACTGTGTGCCTGGTGGTCCAACAAGAAGATATAAGCTTCCCATAGGTTTCTGATGCCCTAGGAGGGGAGGTGGACAAATATAGAGAAAATAATGGGGTCATTCACTGTGGTAGGAGAGACAAGGGCAGGAGGACCAGGGAACCCCAGACGAGGGCAACACCAAATGCTGACCCGCCATGGGAAGGAAGAATTAAGGAATTCAGGAAAGAAGAATTCAGGGAGGTGATGCTTGATCTGAGTCTTAAAGAAAACAAGGGGGCTTTTAACTGGGCAGAGGGGGAGGGCAGAAGAGGCTGAGGAGAAGGATATTCCAGGCAGAGGAATGCCTGCAGGAGTCCTTAAAAGAAGTCAGTTCAGCAGGTCTTTGCAGAAATGAGAGGCCTCATTTTGGAAATCTTTTAGCACAGCATGCAGGGAAGTCTGTTCTTGTTTTTGTAAATAAAGTTTTATTGGAACATGGCCCTGACCACCATTTACATATTGTCTGGCTGCTTTATCACTACAACAGCAGAGGTGAGCTGTGACAGGGACTGTGTGGCCCACAGAGCCAGAAACATTAACTATCTTGTTTTTTATGGGAAAAGTTTGCCAGCCCTTGGCATAACATATTTTGACTCCTTGAAACTCTTAGTGAAGACATGCACTTTCAGTGACAGGGCTTTGCCTGCAGGCCTTCATGGACCTGTTAGTTTATTTTACAACCCAGTGAGTGCTCTTTATCCACCCTACCACACCACCAACTTATTAGCATCTGGCTTCTGTAACTCCTGGCCCAGAACACTCTAGAAGTAGGTATCTAGTATAAAGGGGGGAGGGCATTTCCCCTCAAGCATTCCCTAAAATGTCTTATTACCCCAACCCCGGGCCATCATCAACTGTGCTTAATTTCTTGAAACCTCTTCTGCTGTTTATTTGCTTGGTAAGTGTTGCCAAGCAAAATCAGAATTAAAATCAATGACAAGACTAGCAGTCATTGAAAAGCACTCCATTCTTTGGTGAGACAGTCAATTTGTTAGGGCTTCTGGAGCTGGTTGTCCCCCTACAAATGGGAGGAGGAGAGTCGTATGGAGATCCGCTCCCCCACAAACCTGCATTTATTTCAAAAACACAGAGACTGTGTTTCCAGAAGCAGCCATGCATTTGAAATACTGCTTTCCTGGATATAGTGAGTAAAAGTTTTGTGGCATTACATAGCAAATGCCACTTTTAAGCACCTGCTGTGATATGTGCTAAGTATCAGCCACTGAGAGTGCTGAGCTCGAGGCTTTACAAATGTTACCTTTTTATTTCACAAGAGCTGGATGAAATACAAGTACAGTCATTCCCATTTTATAGATCATGAAACAGAGTCTCTGACAAGGTGGTACCTTCCATTTTAACTACTAAAAGATACTGCCTCTGATCCGAAGAGCTGGATGAAATACAAGTACAGTCATTCCCATTTTATAGATCATGAAACAGAGTCTCTAACAAGGTGGTACCTTCCATTTTAACTACTAAAAGATACTGCCTCTGATCCGTGATAAGAAGGGTGTTGATTTTTATGCTCTAGTTGTCCTTACCAAGTAGAAGGCTCATTGAAAATGCTGAATCAAGAGGCCAGGAACTTTTTACAGATTATCAAAAGAACTGGTTTTCAAGGGATAGGTAAAAATCTTCCTTAGCACTGACTTCTGTTTTAGCCCCAGCTGCCACTGAGGTATCATTTAAATGCCCCTGCCAAATAACACTGCAGTTTATGATCTAATTTCTAATTAGTACTTTCTATAGAAAGCTGTTGGCGATAAATAATGGTGATATTTTCCAAACATTTCTGGAAGATATAACAGCTCCAAGAACAGAAGTGTGTAGGTTTAGGAATGTCCTATTTTCCAACTAAAATTTCATTCTTACAGAAAAATCTGATCATAACCATCTTCTCCTTAAAAACTTTTATTGCTCTGCCATATCCTCAGGTTAAAGACCTAAGTCTCAGTCGTGGTATTTGAGGCCTTTTCTGTTTGGGCCCTGCCTACTTCTCCTGTCTGACCTCTCAGTACCCCACACTTCTTCAATCCAGCCAAGAGGGGTCCGTGCATTTGGAACTACCTTAGTTCCTTGAGCACATCTTTAGATTGTCCCTGTCTGGCTCACTCGTCTTCTTTCACATCTCGGCTAAGATGTGACTGGATTCAGGAGGCCTTCTTTGACCCTTAGAGATTGTGCTGGTGTCCTTCCATGCCCAGCCTTGACATAATGTCCACTACACTGTTGTTCAATTGTTTGTCCACCATTAGAATGTAAGCTTCTTGAAGGCATTGTTTTTAGTTTTGGCTTTGTAGTTGCAAGGAATACGAACCCACTTGAGCTAGATAATATAAAGAGGGTTTATTGCAGGGAAATATTTAAAGCTGTAAAGAGAGGCCTTCCTGGAAATGTAAGAACCAGGTCTATAAAGAGCTATACCACATGGAACCGGAGCAGGGGTTCCTCAGGAGGGCGCAGATTTGTCTGTGGCCCTCAGCTCCCCTGTTTGCCCTTCTTTCTCCTGCTGGCTTCCCGAGCTCATGCACATGTCTTCATGAAGTCTGCTCATGACCTCAGCTTGCCTGCACAGCCTCGAATGGCCCCACCAGCCGTGACGGACCCTCCTAATCTCATGGCTTCATTTCCTGTTTCCTGCTTGTTTGGTTTCAGTTTTCCAATTGCAAATTTCCAAGTAAGCCCTCTGGTTGGCCTAGCTCACCCTTTCTAGCTGGGCCACATATGTCATAGGTCTCTGGCCATCCTGTAGGGGGGCTGTCCTTGGGTCCGGACCTCACGGCAGACCAACTGGGCATGTTTGAGGCTGGATGGGGTTCCATGGGTCAGAACATGACTGCCAAAATAGACCTCTTTTTGGCTTCTCTTCTGCCTCTCTGCTTACAGAGATGTTAGGCTGTGTCTTGTAGACTTCATGGTATCCTCTGTTTTCCATTCTTTACAGATATCATTAATGGAGCTCAAGAAAAATGCGTATTGCCTCCTATGGATGGCTACCCCCACTGCGAGGGGAAAATCAAGGTAAGGCGGAATGATGCGTGGTCATTTCCATTGTCCTCCATCCGCATTAACGCCCTCTATTCCCCCCCCCCCAGTAATACACATGGGTGGGTGAGCCCTGGCAGTGGGTCATTTAAGGCGTCCCTCAATCCTGCCAGCTTGGGGCCATGGCCATGACAACTCTTCGGGCTCGTGCCAACTCCGTGGGGGTTGATCAGCCATGGCTCTCACTGCTCAGACTGAAAGAGCCTGTGCTGCTTCAGGTGCCTGCGGTTTCTTTGAAGCTGCTTTTCCCGCTCTCATTCCCAGCCTCCAGCGGGTGATCCTTCAAGGACCAATGACAGGGGCCTGCCATTATTTAGTGTCCAGCTCCCCTCTCCCCAGGCCTCTGCTCTGAGGTCTCCAGATTGTGCTTTAAATGTCACATTTGCATTTGTGGTTGAGTACCCAGAGACACTTGGCCACTCTTTCACTCTGGACATTTTTTTAAAAAATCCTGTGTGGATAGCCTACCCTCAGGGACCACTTGCTGCACAGTAGCCTTCAGAGAAAAGTTTTGGTTCAGGTGTGCAGTGAGAACAGTGAGACCAACTGCAGAAGCATTTAGATGGCCTCTGTTTGGGACGTCTGGAAGTGCTCCCCTGCCCTCCTTTGCACTCTCTGCACTCTAGGCACTGTGCTGTGGGCTGTTGGAAGGAACTGCTGTTCCCAGAGGGGATTTAGATGCGAGGTCCTGTTAGACACTTGCTCTTGATAAAACTCTCCTAGCCATTGCCTCTCCTGGGCTTTATCACCTGGTGTGTCCTGACCTCTCTAACCTCTTAGCACCTCCTCTAAGGCCCAGCTGAAGCCAGCATCTGCTGGTTGATCATCCAGGAGCTGAGGGTCTGGTCATTGCTCTGACCTCAGTGCACAGCTTGAGCCATTCACCTTCTCTGTCAGCAGATGTGCAGGGACACCGAGATCAGGCTCCTCGGAGTCATTTTTACCTGGCTCTTGTCGTTTCAGTGGATGAAAGACATGTGGCGTTCAGATCCCTGCTACGCAGACTACGGAGTGGATGGGTCCACCTGCTCTTTTTTTATTTACCTCAGTGAGGTGAGTAGCTTCTTGTGGTTCCTGGGGATAGATATGCGCGGTTAGGTTGTTTTGTAGCTGGACCTAGAGTTTGAAAAGCTTAAAAACGCATGTGTGTTTCCCTCTTCATCCCTCTCCCCACCTCCCACTTCCCCAAGAAGGACGATGTTTTCCCTCCTAAGGGAAAAACAGGCCAGGTTAGGGCCAGCCTGTGGCTCACGTGGGAGAACATGGTGCTGACAATACCAAGTCAAGGGTTAAGATCCCCTTACTGGTCATCTTTTTTAAAAAAAAAAAAAAAAAGCAGGCCAAGTTAACTATTTACGGTCCCCCTACCCCCCCCCACTTTTTTTTTTTAATTATGGTAAAATAGATATGAGATTGGCCATCTTAACCATTGTCAAATGTACAGTTCAGTGGCCTTAGGTACATTCACATTGTTGGGCAACCATCACTACCATCCATCTCCAGAACTCTTTTCATCTTGCAAAACTGAAACTCTGTTCCCATTAAACACTGACTCCCCATTCCCCCGTCCCCCCTGCCTCTGGCCACCATCATTCTGTTTTCTGTCTCTCTGAATTTGCCTACTGTAGGTCCCTCATATAGTGGAATCATAAAATGTTTGTTGTTTTGTGACTGGCTTATTTCACTTAGCATGATGTCCTTAAGGTTCATCTATGTTGTAGCATTTGTTAGAATTTCCTTCCTTTTTTAAGGCTGAATCATATCCAACTGTCTGTGTGTAGCACATTTTGCTTGGCTATTGTGAATAATGCTGCTGTGAACATGGGTGTTCAAATATATCTCTTTGAGACCCTGCTTTCAGTTCTTTTGGGGATCTATCCAGAAGTGAATTGCTGGATCATGTGGTAATTGTATTCTTTAAGTTTTTGAGGAACTGCCATATGTTTTTCATGTGGCAAATGGTTGCTCACCAGCAGGGCACAGGGTTCCAATCTATCCACATCCTCACTAGCACTTATTATTTTCTGGTTTTTCTGATAGTAGCTATCCTATCAGGTGCGAAGTGGTAACTCATTGTGGTTTTGGTTTGCGTTTCCTTAATGATTCGTGATATTGAGCATCTTCCTCATGTGCCTGTTGACTAAGTTAGCAACAAGCACATGAGGTTAGTTACTTTTACCTTTTTTTTCCCTTTTTCTCTGAGCTTCATTTCCATTTGTACTTTTTAAAAATTTCCTTTCAACTTTCTATTGTAAGATTTTTCAAACATTCAGTAAGGTTGGAAGAGTAGCACAGTGAACACTGGTATACCTACACCTTCATTCAACAGTAGAAATCACCACATTTTAAACATGATGGGGCCTTCTCTAAACCTCTTTCTAGGTCTTAACACATCCAGATATCTGTATATACAAGAATGACATCGCAGTTTACATGTTGTTCTGCAGTCTGGGTTTTTAATTTTCCTTTAAAATATTGTAAATATCTTAAGTTTCACTAAATATTCTTCCACAACCTCATGTTTGGTGTCCCCTTACTATCTGTTGCATGGATCTATCATAACTTCCACAGCCAACCCTGTATAGTTGGATATTGTTATTATCTCCAATTTTTCACTATTATGAAAAAAGGAAGTTCAGTGAACATCCCTGAGGTTTTTTTTGCCTTTGGGTAAAAATCTTCTGAGGGTAGATTCCTAGACTGGGGATTCAGGAGTCAAGGAACATGCCTTCCAGAAAGGTTGTATCAATTCACACTCCCACTGATAATGCATGACACTCTCCGGTTACCCACATCCTCTCCAGTATTTTTAATCCTAGGGTAATTGTATTTTTGAAAAAAATTTTTTATAGGAACCACTGCAATGGGGTCTTGTAGTAGAGGAGCAAGATTGGACTCAGCTCTGACTCCCTTATTTTCAAATAATTTATTTGCATCTCTGCCTCTCTCACCAGAGATGTCATTTGTACTCTTGAATTTAAATAGCAGCTTTTTTGAGGGTTGCATATCATTTTACAGACCACATGGAATTTGTTACAGGCTTCAGTGATCTCCATTTCACCTTTAGGAGTGGGGAAGAGTTAAGACTTTATCCAGAACCTTGTAGGGAATAAAAACCTGCTGACTTCCCTTCTCCCCCTGATGGGTGGGGGCAGCCCTAGAGTCTTGTGAAACAGGTGCTGGCTAATTTCAGAGTAGGGGAAACCTCAGCAGGCTCTCTGCTGCCATTTCTTATGTATTCTTTCCCCTGTGTTTTGTATGATGTTGCCATTGTCATTTGACCAATAGTTAGTAACTGCTCCCTGGTGATGCCATGCAGAAAGGATAACACCTCCATTTTTGAAGCTAAATTAAATGCTTTTGTAATTTTCCTTGTGGGATTCAGGTACCTCTCTTGAAAGGATAACACCTCCATTTTTGAAGCTAAATTAAATGCTTTTGTAATTTTCCTTGTGGGATTCAGGTACCTCTCTTTTTTGTGTCATAAGGTGACAGGGACAGCTTCTTTGGGGGCTGGAAGCCAAATGAGTATTGCTGTAGGGCATGTGGCCTTGGATTCTGTGGGTTTTGCCCTTCTCCTAGATCATTAACTCTCTTTTCTCGGTATAATCCAGTCACAGACTTTTTTAAAAAAAATTTTTTTGACAAGGTTATTCCATGTGTGGGTTTTGCCCTTCTCCTAGATCATTAACTCTCTTTTCTCGGTATAATCCAGTCACAGACTTTTTAAAAAAAATTTTCTCATAGCCGTTCCATGGCTATGAGAAGAACTTCAGAGCTAATGGTGGTTAAAATGCCTCTTGGAAATTAAAAGCACTGAGAGGTGGGTGTGTGATGCTCCTCATTAGCAGGCTGCTGGCAAATTGATTGTGTAGCATCTAGTTGAGTATGTTTCTAGTTTCTGGCTTAGAGGCCTGTGGCCCACCTTCTGGTTTCCTTCTCTGGAGAAATAGGGCCTGATTAAAAGCACTGAGAGGTGGGTGTGTGATGCTCCTCATTAGCAGGCTGCTGGCAAATTGATTTGTAGCATCTAGTTGAGTATGTTTCTAGTTTCTGGCTTAGAGGCCTGTGGCCCACCTTCTGGTTTCCTTCTCTGGAGAAATAGGGCCTGGGGCTGGGGATGAACCCTCACCATAGAAAGAAGTCAAGTAGAAATACTTCTTCAGCCCTGAGGAGGAGGTTCTTCATAACATTTCATTTTCAAAGGTTTTCTGTCCCTTTCCATCTGATAGAATTGAGCCAGAGTCCTACTGTGCTCTGTGATTGACAAGCTGGGCTAATTTCATGCCTTCCTGAGAGTTCGGGGTACCCTGCCCAGGCGATGATAGAGGATTCCACGTCCCCACTCCAGCCTCACTCTCCACCTCCTGGGTCAGAGTGGTCCAGACAGAAGGGACTCTAATTACACATGGGCTTTTTCTTTTCCTTTGAAACATCACTGCCCACCCCCCACCCTAAGGAAGAGAAGTGAGATTCTGGGGAAGGGAAATTTAGAGGAGTGTGGGACGGATGGGCTGTGTGGAGATGTGAGGAATCAGACTTAACCACTGGAGGTTCATTACTAGTGGTTCATTAGCCTGTTCCACTCCCTTCTTATGTAGATGATTAGGTTTTTCTTTTTGTCAGGCTGAATTCAGTTCAGTGAGCCGTTATTGAACATCTTTTGTATTCACTGATTGTGAGTGTTAGTGAGAGCTCACTTTCTTGGCATCATGCTATGCACTCATTATCCTAAGAGTCAAATATAAGAGGAAGAAAGGTCTCAGGTGATTGAGCCAGGAAGGGGTGGAGATAACTGTGAATCTCCTTTTCAAAGCTTTAATCTGAAAATAACCCTGAACCTCTGGGCTTTAAAAAAAAAAAAAAAAAATCCATTTTATCATACCATCCTAATAGGTACCCTATAAGAGCTAATGTTGAATTTCACCAATATGGTCACTTTCATAGGAATACCATCTTAGACCCTCATACCTGTCTTCAGTTTCTGTTTCCGCTGCTTTCTAAGCTCCATGATTTTAGAAAAGTTACTTAACCTTGTGTGCCTTGGGTTCTTCCTTATAAAATAAGTTTTATTTATTTATTTATGTATTTTTAAGGCCCCTACTGTGAGAATATTGTGAGAATTTCTGAGTTTATATGGGAATGTGCTTAGAGTGGAGCCTGGAATATAGGAGACACTCAGTAAACATAACTGACATTTTTATAGTTTTTAATTTTGTCATTATTTGAGGATAGTTGTGGGACAATGGTTCCATTTTAGAATTAGGATCTCTGGTTCTCTGGTTCTCGTTCACCAATCTAATTTTAGATCCTTTGACTTCTGGTAATGTAGAAATTCAGCTGTTCTCTTTAACCATTTAAAATTGACATGTAAAAATGGTACATATTTGTGCTGTACAACATGTTTTCATCTATGTATACATTGTGGCTAAATCAAGCTCTAATTGACTTGTGCATTACCCCCATACTTATTTTTGGTGAGAACACTCACCCTTGACTTCTTTCCCCTGGATATGATACTTATGTTTGTGTTTAAATTGGGAGCTGGATGAATAGAGCCAGTGTATCCCTGCAAGCTGTTAATGTGAAATTAGTAGAGATGGCTTCCAAGGTCCATCAATTCCTTTCTAGTATTTGTAAAATTATGGATAATATCTATGGCTTTGTGGGGCTGTTAGTCTAGTTGTGTCCCCCCTCCCCCCTTGCTGTTTTGAAACTCTTCTTATTTTGTTACTTTATTAAGCCCTGAAACCTGTTTATTTCCTGTATCATATGCCAGGTTTCTCCTGCAATTGGGAACATGATTGAGAGGGACATCTTTATTTTACCTGTTAAGTTGATCAGTTTGTGCACCAGTGACTTTTATTCTACTCTTAGTCCTTATTGAAGGAGCCAGTTCTTGTTTCCACCTCTGTTTGACATCAGAACTTTGACACAGCTATCAGAAGGACATGGAGTAAAATGTTTCTCATATTGTCCACTACCAGCTGAATTGAGCATTTAGGTTTAGACCCATCTTAGGAGATGGGATTCATTGTTCTTTCCCATGGTTG